AGGTAGAGGATAACTTACAGGGATAAATACTCAGCATGTACAATATTAAAATACTAAATCCTTGTTGCTCTTGTTAGCATAAACATCATGGAGAATAAGTAACATGGCACATGCAGAGCTGCGTTTAAAAAAAAAAATAAAAATCTTATAACTAAGCATGTGTATGCCAGCAGTTGACAAGCTGTTATTCCATGGAGCTCTTAAATGCTTGTTTCTGTTCAGTGTTAAAAATGGCTACTAGGGAAGACACAAAGGCTGAGTAGCAAGTTAATTCATTAATGCACTTTTTGCGTTGGTTGCACTGCTTATTTCAGTTTTATTTGATTTAATTCTTGTGCACCATTATGTTCTAACTTCTGTTTATGACTTGAAAGCATCTAGAATAATGCAATAGAAGCAGTTTCTGTACAAAGACTAAACAGTCCTTGTGTAAGAGGAGGGATGTTGGCTAGTTCGTATGCCAGCTGTTATCAGTAACCCTCCCAATTTGTTTATCCTGTGAAGTAGAGTTCGTCATAAAACCATGCTCAGGTATATTTTGTAGAATGTATTCTGCTCTGAGGCCCCTGGAGCAGTTTAGCACATTGCAAGGATGGGGAAAACAAACTCAGGGAAGGAGCAATGGCAGATGATCCTGGGTCAGGTTTGGTGCACAGACAGGGCAGGGAACTGTTCAAGGTCAGTTTTACTCCCAGAGATGGCAAGAAGAGGGATGCATCTCAGCCCTTGTCTCCAAATGCAAGAGGTCACTGGCATTGCTGCTCTAGCCATTTTGAAGTGCATTATTGACAGACATACTCTTGTGAACAAGAATGGCCATTTAAGGGAGGAAAAATGAGGGGTCAAAGCATTTCACCAAGGAAGGGGAGCAAAGTTACTATAAAGCATTTGAAGTGAAGGACTGACAAAAAATGTATTTAGTGTTTAGGAAGGATGTGGAGTAAGTGAATGAACACTAGGAGCTGGGCAGAGAGACAGCAGCTGGGGGAAAGAACTGTCTGGCTGGGCTATAATGGCACAGGTTGTCTCTTTTTAAAATGGCAGCTTTGCATGAATATTCCTTCCTCTTAAACGTCATCACTCTCTGGACTCCTCCCAATTCCACTATGAGAGGGGAACATGTCTGATCTTACTGTCCCATGACTCTTGATTGAAGTTAAATCCCTGGTGCATCAGCAGCTTTGTTTTAAAAGAAAAGGCCAGTCCTAACTAAAGTACAGCTATAGAAAAGGCCAGGAGCCAATCTACTTAAAATGATGAGGTCAAGCAGGCAAGCGTTATTCTACCTTTTGCTCTCTCCCTTCACCCTTCCAAGTCATAATTTCTTGACTCCCTAAGAACGGCATAAATATTCCTACTGCCCCATTGTGGAGAGCTTGTCTTAATTGTTTTCTTTCTTCTTCCCTTGTAAGGGAGGACACCTTCTGTTTAGACCAACTTATTACAAAGAAACAGCACTTCTGTGTTCATCTTGCTGCAGCTGAATTCATTCATGGAGGCTGAACTTGGCAGGAATTTTGTCTGCTGTTTTCAGCCCTTTGACTGCTAACAGACTGTTCTACCTTAGAGGAGTTGGTGATCACAGAAACACAGTGCTGTGTTTCTGTCTGAGCAGGATTTTGAAAACAGAAAAAGTTGCTGGGGAAAAAAGCATTTCCTGTTCTTTCTTCAGATGCTAAAATAAATGTTGAATTTTGTTCCTAAGTACTGAGACTGCAGATCTGGTGCTTGAATACTGCAATGATGATAGAAGAATCTTGTGCTATGTTATCAATCTTTTTTGTGTTACTCTAGGGGTGGGATGCTATTGAGTGGATAATTCAAAATTCTGAAAGCGCCCTAAGCTAGCAGGCTTTTCTACAACTGCAGCTTATACTAACTAGTGGTAACTCCAGTATTCTTTTTTTTTTTCGGTACAGCATTTCAGCTTTCTAGCAAATGTGTGCATGGACTGTTGTGATGTGATCTCTATCAGAATTAACTTGCATGCACATTGTGTATAAACACATTACATACAGGAATGGCAAACATGTTTATTAGAATAGTCAGAGATGCTGAATAAGACCTGAAAGGATCAGTTATTCCATCCCCTGTATCACTGGAAAGACTGGATACAGTGACTGCTTACACACACAAGATAGTAGCATGTTTACTGCAGGTACTCATGCATGTGAATTTGTTACTGAGGCTCCACCATGCCTAATTTAATTCCTTTGGTTTCACTGCAGTTAAGGTAGTTTCTATGGAGAATAAACAAACTGGTTAATGGAGTTGCCATTATGAAGAGGGACTAGAACTATACAGTTAAAAGGATTGGGATAGGTATCTCATAATAGGGGTGGCCTGACCAGGGTAGGGGGTTTTTATGGGTTTTTGTTATGGATTTTTTAATTTATTTTTTGCTTTTTCAAAGTACTGCTGCTTGATTTATCCTCCCTGACTAGAATTGTTTGCATTCTTGAGAGAGAGAGTTGCTAGAATTGACCTTTACAATTTAAGTGGGAGTTTGTTGCGGAAGTTTGCACATTACTGTAAGAGCAAGTAAAATATTTCAATAATTCTGTATATCTTGCATTGGTTTCTAGTTTATTGCTGTTTACAGATTAATTGCCACCCCTAAACATGATGGTCATGAAACTTAACTTCAGGGCTGAGGGAAACGAGTGCAGCTTTCTTCGCTATATATTTGTACTGAACGGTAAATGTCCCCCCCAGCTTTTCATTCTATTAGCCAGTCTAACTTGTCTCCGTCATTCCTGTATTGAAAAACTTTAAAACTTCCACTGACAAAATCCCCAAACCATTTTCATTGCTCTTATTCTCTATCATTATGCTGGGGTGTGCGTATATAACTTAGAAAATGATGGCTGTGTGCTTTCAAGTTTCTGTCTCACCAAATTATCATGACTTGGACAAATAGTTGAAGCTTTATATTCTCCAAAAACTTTAGCTGGAGCAGCCAGCCTTGACTTGTGACCTAAAACTTATTAACAAATGTTCATACCCAGTTTCTGACATACTATTGAATGCATATAATGCCAAAATATGTAGTACTGGGTTAATGCAATGTGCATGCTTGGTTATGAATGTGCTTGCTTTAATCAGCATCGTATATAGAAATTAAAATAGCATTGTGTTGGTTATATAAATTGTGAAACTCTGTAAACTAGTCCTCTGTCAGATTGTTTCTTCTTACTGAGCAAAATTGCCCAGATCTTTAATTATGAAAGAAACTGTAATTGTGGAGCTTTTAAACCACTTAAATTCCAGGGCAGAATTTTTTCTGAACCTTTCCATTCCACCATGACGTGTTAATTTCTAGTTGCAAAGTAGTAGGGCTGGGTTGAGTCACCAGGCTTACCTGGATGTAAATAGTTTTCTAGAGAAGAAGAAAACACCTTTTCACTTAAGGAAGTTGCTTGAAAATTAACAAACTGAAAACTGGCTTTAGATCATGGCCTAGTCACTTATGGAAAGACTGGTGGTAGTCTTCTGTAATGCAGGAATTCCGCTCAAAGTGTTGTCTGCTTTTTGACTAATTCAAGTATAATCTTCATGTGATTAGGCTTTAAGGTGATTAGCATTTAAATTGCCACTTTTTCAGTACCTTATATTGCTGCCTCTAATTAAGGGGATGGACACCAACTTAAGAAATAAACCTTTTAATTGGATTCTTGTGACATCTATATCATATTAACTGAATAATCAAAAGAGACTTTTCAGTCTCTGACAGCACTCTGCTCAGTTAGGGGCACTAATATGTGAACATTCATTTGTATTTCTTGTTGTGTGCCATAGTCTGCAAAAGTCTGGCTCTAGTAAGCCAAGTGAAAAAATATGCTAGTGGCAGCAGCAGCAAACTGAAACCAAAGAGATAGAGGCATGTAAAGAGAGGAAGGGGAGGGTGAATGGGAAGTGAAGGAAGAATGGGCTAACCCAAAACAATCTAAATATCAGGGAAGCAGAAGGGCACAGGGTGTATTGGTAATTGGACTCAAAACTACCAAGTGTAACATTATGCAGATTGAGAATATTGCATCGGGCTGTAATCTATATCCTGGCTTCCAAACTGTGGATGGACTACTCATGTGATCTTATGCAGTGAATGAATTTTCTCCTGCTTGGTCTTGGACTAAGAATGATGTTTTTATTAGATGGGTTTTCTGGTTTCAAAAAATACTTCAACAGCTCTTTGGGTTAGGGGCTATCAGCCAACATGGAGGCAGAGCCCAGCCTCCTGTGACTATTATCCTAACACAGAAACTTGAAAAGTCGGTAAAAGGGACTCTTCATTTTCTAAACTTGACATGTTCTTTGCTCTGAAGAAAGATAAAAATACTATTTCAAAACTAAATTTATTCAGCCAGGCTAGAGTCCACAGTCTGAAAACAGGGTCTTACAACTGTGTTGTGTATGTTACTGACATAAAAAAGACTGAGCTGAGTTGCATTTCTCAGTGGTTTGCAAAGTCTTTATTTCGGTGTAGAATCATTCCAATATCCAGCAGCTGGGGAAGTGGAGATGGGAGAATAAGTATCCTTCAGTTAGTGAGGGCATTGTTTAACATCCTCTTTGCCTCAGTATCCTTGCCTAACCTTTCAGGTTTTTGCATGCATTGCAGTTAGTGACGCTAATGACACATGAATTCAGTAGAGAGCATTTGTGTAAGTATATCTTGAACTGTCCATTTCACACAAATGATAGTAAATGGTAACTGGATTTTGGACAAAGGTATCAGTGATAATGCTACTACAAGAGAACACATTTCCCTTGTAGGTCAAAGATGTGCTTGCTGCTGTCAGGTGTTACTGGTCTGTTTCAGGGTCTTGAATGACTGTATTTCTATGGGTTTTGAGCACTTGAGGGTTTTTGTGGATAGGTGGTTCTTAGTGTGAAGAACCTAGTTATCTAATTTCTACTCATTTGGGTACCATTCTGTGTTCTGCTATTGTCAGTTCCTCCCCTTATCAGAAGGCATTTGTGCATTTGCTAATTGCTTTTTATCTAGCTTAAAGAACCTGTATATAGGTGGGAAGGCAGAGTTATTTGGCAAGAACTGGAAATGACAGCATAAGTAAAGGTCAGGGTTCTGTAGAGGATTTCTTTGTGAGGGCAACAGTTTTATTTCAGAAACTAGCGTGGTCTTGCCCCTGTCTTCCAGAGCATTTGAAACCTTCTGGTATTTAACTTGACAGAAGATTAGGTTCATTAGACCAGGTTGAAAAAATCTGCCAATGTGTGCCCCACCAAAGTCATGCCTATCAAACTTCCCTCCATGGATCTTTTAATTATTTCTTCACTGGAGAAGAATCACTGGAAAAATCACTTCTGTCCTCCAATTTAATTTTGTCAGTTAATTCTGCCCTCAAAATTGGCTCACCCACCTCCTTGCAGGGTGGTGCTGTTGCCTCCAGGGCTCTTCTGGTCATAGTTTAGGCCCTGAGTTTCCTCACTACTTTTCTCTTACTTGATTCCCAAGTTTGCTGTTCATGAGGCAGTGGTCCTTGGGATATTCTATGGCTTTTCCTTCTCCCCTCTGAAGAAGCAACCAGCACTTCCCCAGGCCAGCCTGCTTGTCTGTGAACAGCTTCTCATCCTGAGTGAACATGTTTTTTAACACTCCCATCTCTGTTGAGAACAACTTTAGTTCCTTAATTTTTGTGCATTTTCTCATTTCTAAAGCTTAGGCTACAGTAAGAGCAAGAGCATTGTTCACATCCTACATAAGTGCTTCACAGAAGATCTGTAGTTGCATGAATTTGTAAACTTGAGCAGAGGCACATTCTGGTGACTTCATAGAAGTGATAGGCTCTTGTTAATTGCACTTATTCATAGCCCTTTATTTTCTCGATGACCTAAGTAGACTACACATTCCAGGAGTGGGAGGGAGCCAGGGCAGTGCCTTGGCAGAAAACTGAGTCATGTGATCAGTCTTTCATTTAGTCTGATTTTTGTGCTGAAGAGATGCTCTGAAGGAGGAAACAGAACGTGATAGTTAACCCTTCCTCTCCTAGTCACCATAGGTCAGATTTATGCAGCTGGCAACTAGAATGTGTGTTGGGATGTGGAGACATGGAGGTATTCCCCTTAACTGCTACCAATGAGTCAACCTGTAAGAGCAGCATTGTTCTTTCTAGCTCCGGTTTTTAATAAAGTCTCCAGTTCTCATGTAGTTAATCACTCTATCATCTAGAATAAAATCTAGCTCCATCCATACACATGCTGTCCTTCCTGCATTAATAGGAATAGTGAAAACAGAGGGGGAGAGAGTCTTGAATTTAAATGTGCTTTTAAGTGTTTGCATTTCAGTACTACCTTGACTTCTTCTTGCACATGAGTGTTATGGAAACACTTTTTTGCAATGAAGATTCAGGATGAGGCTATTATAAAACCTCAATGTATAACGCCAAACTGGTTTCCTATAGCACAATTCTGGCGTCTGACAGAGGAAAGATATGGAAGTTTTCTCTTGAATAGTGTCGCTGCAGACATTTTGATACTAAACTCTTACGTTCTCTTCTGACAGGGCCGAGATGCTCTGGAATGGGTGATCAACAAACTAAACACCGAGTTTGAGGAACTGAAACTCTCAACACGGGAGAGCATGAAATCCGCAATGGCAGCAGCATCAACAGAGAATTGAGGCCACAGCACTGAAGAGCTGTGACAAACAGCTCTATTCTATGAACTCTTCCCTAGGCCTCCTCCAAGACTGAGCCACCATCACTTTTTGTATATGAACATTAGATACAAAAGAACTTGAAAAATGAATGTTGGGTATCTCCAGCCTCCACACAGCTGCTTTAGAATCCATTGAAGATATAAGTAGAGAAGTTCAAGTTAGTCTCTTTATTTTGTGCCCTCCAGACAACTGAAACAGAATCTTTGGCAGTTTTTTAAATAAAAAAAAATGGTAAGGTGTACCTTTTATAGAGGAGGCTTTTTTTCCATTTGATACCCTCAGTTTGAAAGTTTTGGTGTATTTGAGCCTCCACCCTTTTCTTTTTTTTTTAAAGGGAGCAACTAGTGCCATGTGGAGGGTAGGTGGGTACAAAAAGCACTGACTGTTGTTCCCATTTTCACTGTTTGATAGTCTCTTATGGCTAAGTGGAAATGTAAGGAGGAGAGCGTGACACTTTGTAGAATGACAGAGGTGTTTACTTGGGACACCTAAGCTGCATCTTGCATGATGGCACTAACTTGCATTGTTAAATGCAGTGTCTGAACAAAAAACATACTTACCTCTTGGATATTTTGTATCCAAATGCAGATTTTTATAGTCATGAATAATCTTAACTATAATAACTATCTTTGTAGCTTTACTGGGGGATTGAGGACTTAATTTATTTTCATATTTATTATTCAGTGGCTCTAGGGTTTTCTGTGTTTAAAAAAGAGCAACTGATGTCTCTCGGAAAGCACTGGATAAAAGTTCACTCCATTCTTTTAATGCGGAGGTTTTGAAGAATATCTTTTACTGCTTCATGGGTCCCTATTCTGCACTTCAGATCATAACTATAGATGCAAATCTGATGTCACAAATAAAAGCAATCATCTGAAGAATCAGCAGGAAACTGAGACCAACTCTAAGAGTAATGTGTTATTTTTCTTGTAACTCTTTAGTTCTAATAAAATACTACTGAAAATTAGAGGCCAAATTGGCTTCTTTTTTTCCAGAGCTTTCCATAAGCCATCACTGGTTCTCTATTTAGTTTTTTTTAAGTAACATTTTTAACATAATTTGGTCATGTTGGCACAAATAATCTTTTTTAGGCTCATTTAAACGTTTAAGTTTTTCACTGTCAGAACAAGGAATTAATGCATTTCACAGAGTAAAATAATAGAAAAAACAAGTTAAATAGCCTTGCAGAAAGTATGAAATCCAGAATTGTTACACAGTATCAGCTTGTTTTTAAACGGACACAAGAAGATGAACATGTTGTGAAAGTACTGAAAGTTTTGGATGCAACCTTTAAGTGAAAATAGATGTGTTTGTGGGTTTTCTGAGTTTTTCTGTGCACAGACCAAAGGAACAGTGTTCTGAAGAGCTGTTTTCTTGCGCAAGCAGAAAATAAATGGTTTTGGAAGTCGATTTTGAGCTGGATTTCCACAATTTTTTTTAAATAACAGACAAGAGATGGAATTATTGTTTGATTTGCTTTGATTTTGGGTACCTGAAAATGTTATGTTGGGGGAAACTAACCAATAAATATAGGTAACTGTACCAATGCCTAAATTGCTGGCTTTTAAAATACAAGTATAAATTAGAACTGTATCAAAAGGTATCATCCTAAAGAGCCAATTTATTTCTGTGGTATGGTTGGGGGGTTGTTTGTTTTTTAAATTCAGCAAACATGTCTCTTTATGTGGATGGGAAGGGTTTCCTGTGTGTTGCAGATGCTTGGAACTAAGGCTTGACAGCGTATCCTCCAAATAACAGCTTTCAGAATTAAATATAATAGCGCTATGCAAGTTAAGACAAGTCCGTTGTCTCTGGCTTTCAGAGATGCATGATGTCATTTCCTGGGGAAGAGCACAGAGAAATGTTACAAATTCCAGTCTGTCATGGCAGCCTGGTACAAATGATTGAGACATGAAGCAGGTGACTGCTGGGAAAGCTGTGGTACAACATTCCAATACATACATCTTGCTGGTGGTAAACAATCAGATCTTAGGGTGTTTTCAGTCCCTTGCAATTAGCTGAGCATCCATGTATCAAATAGGTGCATTGCAAGGATTGTCTAGACAGCTGCTATATTAAACATGAATTACTGTTGCTTAAGGAGTCCCACAGTTAGGATGCAGCTAGCAACATGGCTAGCTACCACTTACTACTTTTCTGGGGCTCTGAGATGTCCCAGTCTGCCTCCTGCCAGCTCTCCTAGCCTCCTCCTAGTCCTGGTTCAGGGCAGGCTATAGGCTGGTTTAGAGCTTTACTTTATCCAGACCAGTTATAATGGGTTTTTCTGAATGTTTTTCCCTTTATTACTGCAGGTCCCTTTCCCAAAAATTGGCCTATAGTTCTACAGCAGTGTCTATCGTAGTTCGCAGCAGTTTACTCCTAGCTCCTGTGTAGCTGAGCCACTCCAGAGCTTTCTAGCAGCTGCCTGCATCCTCTGCTAGGTTGTTCTTCTGGTCCAAGTAGTTCCATGTTGTAGCTCTTTCCTGGTTGCTGCAACTCTAGACTTCTGTTGACACTCCTTCCTTTGGACCCGCAGGCCCTGCCTGCAGACCTAGCTACACTGGGGGAAGGAGAATGGACCCTACCTGCTTCTGGTCTCTGCTGCCAGGGACGGCTGTTCCTTAAGATGTTCAAGGTTTTTCAGTGTCTCCCAACCACCCTCCCCACTCCATTGTGGCCAACAGTCACTGCTTCTGCTTTTTCTCTCTTCAATTTAACCTGTGAAACTTTCTCAGGTACAGAATTGCCTCCAAAGATGACACACCTGTATCTACTTTGCTGGTAGGAGTAAGCTTCTGCTTCCCTTTCTGTGCTCTGGAATTGCTCTCCATACAGTTGTATATGTATTTGGGACCCAAGAGCAACAGATCGCCCTTCAGCCTTAGCTGTTTTAAGTCTGTTCCAGGTGCCAAGCTGGGCAGACTGATTGGATGGTCCTCGGCATACCCTGCCCTTTCAGTCTGTTCCTTCTCTTGTCATCATCAGCAGTTGTACAAGCCCAAGGTGCAGAAGGGCCATATGGTGAGCACTGTAGTTGCTGTTAGTTGTATATCACGTCTCTTGGATAGGTGTCCACTGGTCTCTGTCCCACTCCCCAGTAATTTCCTTCCCATCTCCAGCTAGACTAGGCTTCTCACTAGAGCTGTAACTATTGTTTCCTGTACTGCTCTTCCTTTGTCAGTCTGGGATACAAATGCATCTCTGAATTAAATTGTATCCTAACGGTCCTGAAACTAGGTCCTTCTAGTAGTGCAACTGTCCACAGGGGTGCACTTGCTAACTTTGAGATGTCATATTTCAGGGGCAAGCGCTAGTCTGTTGATGTGGGCCCAGGCACTGCAGAAACAACCTGTTACAGGAAGAAACTTGCTTTTAAAATAAGGCAGAGTAAAAGCAAACATGACTTGGATATGGTTCTGAGAGAGAGACTGAAAGCTTTTGCTTAGCCTAGACTATGGCTGACTCAGAGGTGATTAGATTTAGTTTTAAATGGAAATGCTGTGATCTTGCATCATGAGGGTTTTTTTAAATGGGTCTTGTTCTAAAATAGTCTACACTACAATAATGATGTAGTCAATGCAGATTTAACACCTTGTATCACACCAAGGGATTTTTAATGCCTTAAAGTGAGCTTAGCGATGACACTTAAGACAAAGTCCAAGTCTTAAGAATTTGTCACTGAAGCAGTACTGGTGTTAGCTGCAAATTCTGTAATTTAATACATTTCTGTCAGTTGAATGTATGGATGTTTGTGTGTAGTCATTGACCGGTCAGAACATACATTTTTCTGAAGGTTATTCACAATGCATACAACAGCTGCACCAGGCTTTCAAGGTAAGCCGTTATATATGTGGGAAAACTCCCACTGATGGGGACCTGTACAGACAGACAGAACCTAAGCCAAACGGGAAGGAGTGGTCAGCAAGCTAGTATAACTTAAGGAACCAGCTACAGGACTCCTGCTTCCTGCATGAGTTAGTTAAGAATAATTTTCGCTGTTATAAAACAGAACACGTGAACATTATTTACTTGATGCTAATACATTACTGGAGGGAGTTGGGCTAGCTTATCTTGCAGTTATTTTTGTTTTAAAAAAGGTTGAAAGTCTTGTTACTAAGAAGAGAGCAATGTGTAGAGTCTCACCTTCGCAAACCTAACAGACTGTAAGCGCCTCAGGGCAGGGGACTGCCATCTGTAAGGCACAGGGCACATCTGCGGTGCTAACTCAATAACAGACTACGAACAAAACCAAACCATTGTGTGTTGTCTTTGTGTTGTTTCATAGTGGTTACAACCCCTGCCCCCAGCAACAAGTCCAGTGATATCAGCCCATTTTTGCTACAAAGTGGGCAACCCCTTTCACAGAACTAGTTGAAAACCAGTTTCAACTTTCTAAAAACAAATACATGTGCAGACATCTGGGTTTGGTCAAACAGTTGGTACACTGCAGCTGTTCTTTACTAGTGGAGTTTGTAGCAACAGGTAGTAAGATCAGCTTTTCGAACAAGTAGGAGAAATGATTTGTGTGGATGAGAGGACAGCTGAGTAGGGCTGGAGTGGAGGGGGGGGGAGGGATTTTTTTTTTTTTAAGTTTACTTAGCAATACTCCAGAATTATGTTTTAATTTTTAACCATGTATCCTGTCACTTCTTACAGTGCTGTGAATCCACCAGAGTGGACTTCCACATAGTAGGGTGCCTATCCCCCACAGCTGAAGATCAATATAATGGATAAATGGGTACAAAGATCAAATGGGACATAAGCTGCAATCCACTGCACTTTTAAGGTGGTTGGACAGTCTCTTGGTTGCTCCAGAGATCTGAAGTCTATTTGGGGTCAGGGGTTTAAGCACTTTGTCCCTCTAACACAGACCTAATGGCAGTTATAAACAGTTGCATACTCAGTGAAGAACAAATGGAAGGAATGGTTATTTTTAATGATATCAATATCGATAACCTCAGTTGTCACCTCATTTGGTAATGAGGAAGTGCTTACCATGCCTTATCTCTTAATGCAGTATCCAGGGCACAGGAGGGAGGTTTTTTTATCATGTATTTGCTTAAATGTCCCCTAGTGAAAAGGAACTGTCACATGACCAGGAAAGCTGGACTCTACAAATCCATGCTGGGCTACAATTCCAACCCCTTGCTCATGAATCACTGCTTTTCTTAAGATTACAGGTTGAGAATCGGGCAATAGCTTCTTTCCAAACAATACAGGTGTGTACTGCCTTTCCTTTTTGCCCATCCTCCTTCACTACTTTTTTTGTTCCTAAGTAGTTTTCAAGAAGTTAAGGCATTTATCCTTATCACTGGCCAATATTAAGAATCTAATTGTTAATGTTCATTAATAAACACAAGCTGTTGAAGAAACTACTAAGGAGAAAAACAGGTATAGGCTCTTCTTTCTTGCCTTTCTGCACAGGAGCTGTTTAAAGTCTGCAACAGGGACCTCTACAGCTATGAACAGAAGTTAAGCATTTTATCCCAGGAGTCAGAAAGCCTCCATTCCTAAACAGTTGAGCAGAATGGGATGATCTGGCAATATTACATCAGAAAAGCTGGGACAATACAATACACATTTTTAAAGAGATTTATTAGTAATGCATAAACAAGAAACTGCATTTCTCAATCATAACAGGAAAACAAGCAGAAAAATGCTATTGCCTTTCTTGTTTTTAAATTGAGTGCTCTGGTGTATCAGAAGCCATACAGAAGTACATGCACAGTGACATCACACAGGAAGATAAAGAAAGTAGAGAAGTTAATGCTTTGGGAGGCAGATTTGTGCTTTATTACACTATGAAATTAAATATGAGGGATAGTCTCCATACTTTATTCTGCTCTTCCTTGGAAAGTCAAGTTCTAACCCCCTTCCAATAGTATCAGATACCCATTGCACACTCCAAGGTGGAACCCACCCAGTGCATGCGGTGTCGGCTGCCTGCCATCAAGCTGTGTGCTTGGCCCAGGAGACATCATCAAATGCAATTGTGAAATTAGTAGGCACAGTAGTAAATTAAATACAAACATCCATAGGCCTGAAGAGATGAAATGATAACCAGCCTCACAGGTATTAGACCTGATACTGCTCCAAGACCAAAGGCTCACAAACATATGTGCAGAAGTTACGTTTGAGGGTGCTTCAGTCTTTGTTCTCAGTGTCTATTTGCTTCTAGTTTTCAATTAAATCCCTTGCTTGGAACAAAGCAAACAACAAGTAGTGGATGAGAACGTGGAAGAAAACTGAAACAGTTTATCCAGTAACAAAATACAGCCCTTTACCTGATCTGGAGGGCTGGAAAGAAGATTGGTTACTTGTCAAGCGTGGGACTGTGCGTTAGGAAACCTGCACTCAATTCCCAGCTCTGCCACAAATTTCCCATTTGCCTTTGGGTCAATCATCTTTTT